TTCCTTCTGGTTTGTGTGTAATAAGAAGCAGCTAAAATGTCAAAAGCAATGGAACATTAAGTAAGGGGAACAATTACTTGAATTTATTCATGAAATTTAAATTATCTTGTTCTATTTATGTTGTCTTGAGTAAACAGATAAAAATTAACTGTTTTTAAATCACAAAATAACAAAGAGTTGATCCTTCATGGAAAAATCTTGACTCAACTGTACAAAAACTTATGCCTGCATATGTCAACAGCACTTGGAGCTGTGAGAAGGTATACTGAATAGAGTGTTTTGCCCGAGGCTGGTAGTTCGTGTTTTAAGACCCATTTTTATGCTGAGTGCCAGCTGTGCAAAGAGACAGTCCTCTGCACCAGTGACAGCATGTCATCTTTTGAGTAGGTGAGGCTGCCTCCCTTTCCAACCACAGAACATTTCAGCCCAGTGCAGCACCCAAATGCAAGGGTCAAACACTTTTAAAAGTCTTCCTGTACCACTGAGGGACCATTTCCCCACCAACAGCACCTGAAGTGGTTGCCGTCACGTGCTGCATCCCTGCTTTTAAAGCACTTATGAAAGAAAATGTAACTTTAACCATGCCATGGTTCACCCCACTGAGAAATATCAGCCATTCTCTCTACACACCCATGGATAAAAGGAAGGGATCCCGTGCAAGAGAGTAAGGTAAGCTTGACTTCCAGTCAAAGTTCCAGCACCTCCCATTGAATCCATGCATTTTAAGGGAATGTGGATGCATTGTCATGACAAATAAAGCAAAAAATACATCAAAGTTTTTGAAACATCAGGGAATGCTTGCTTCTAGTTGCATGCAATCTGGTTTGTTTATTTTTTAAATCAACATATAAACCCAAACTACACCTTTCACTAAAACTGAAAAAATATATCTTTCAGCCACACAAATGTAGGAGTTTAATATGGGCCTGAGCTCCTTAGCACTCTCTACTATTTCCAATGGTGTGGCTCAGTCCTACGTTCCAAAGAGAAACAAGGCATCAGTGACAGTCTCACCTCACCAATGCCTCGGCCGATTTGAGTTAGCACTGAAGATTAGCTTGGATAACCAAAATCAATAAGCACAATGATGCAGTGGGAATTTTCCAATGTTATCCTGATGACGGTGATGAGACTGAGGATAGTCAAAAGCAACCACAACAACCCACACCCACTGATGAAGGTTCTGAGTCTGAATCTGAAACTGAATCGGGTGATTCAGAGGATTTCAAGAGTGCGAAAGCCTCTATGCGACCCTCTGAAAGCTCTGATCAAGAATTGGAGGAACCATTGTTCACAGTAGGTCGTTTTTCTCCTAAGAAGGAAGAGGAGAGTGTTGTAGACTTAAGGCTAATTCGTAGGTCACAGAGAGTCACAAAAGGCAGACCTCCAAAGAGATTTGCTGATGAGTTTGCTACGATAGCAGTAACAGCTGTTAAAAGCTCCAAGAAGGTATTTGAACCTTCAAGTTTCCAAGAAATCCAGGGTTTGGATTCAAAGGAAGCTGAGCCATGGTTAAATGCCATGAAGGCTGAGCTTGATTCCTTAGAAAGGAACAAAACATGGGAGCTAGTTCCAGTAGTTCCAGGAATGAAACTGCTTGGAAGCAAATGGGTCTTCAAAGCGAAGACAGATCAAAATGGCAAGATAGTCAGACACAAAGCCAGATTGGTAGCCAGAGGTTTTGCACAGGTACCAGATGAAGACTATCACGAGACCTACTCACCCACAGTGAGGTATGAAAGCATTAGGCTTATGCTCAAGCTAGCTGCAGAGGAAAATCTACACATTAGTCACCATGATATTAATACAGCTTTTCTGTACGGATCTCTAGATGAATCACTTTATATGCTTCCACCTGATGGCGTACAGGTAAAACAGGGATTTGTTTGTGCTCTGAAGAAATCCCTTTATGGTCTCAAACAAAGTGCACGGTGTTGGCACACAAAACTCACTGAAGTATTGTTTTCTCTAGGTTTTCAGCAAGGGAAAGCTGATCCATGTGTATTTGTCAAAGAGGAGGGGCAAAAGAAACTGTACTGTTTGTTTTATGTTGATGATTTATTATTCTTTTGGAAAGATGTCACAATGTACAATAACGCCCTAGCTCAACTGAAAGAGCACTTTGACATGAAAGATCTTGGTGAGGTAAACAACTACCTATCTCTTGAAATAGAGAGAGATCAAGATGGTAACATTCTAGTACACCAGTCACGGAAAATTGCTGATGTGTTAAGCAAACTAAATCTAATGGATGCTAACCCTGTAGACACACCGATGACAACAGGTTATCAGGTAGATGACACTGAAGAAGCATTTTCTGACACTACACTGTACAGAAGTGTGCTAGGCAAGCTAAACTTCATTGCCAGATGTTCAAGACCAGACATTGCTGTTAGCTGTAATTTGCTAAGCAGACAAGTCAACAATCCTAGTGTCAAGGATTGGAAAGCTCTGAAACGCATAGCGCGGTATTTAAAAGGCACTATGCATTACAGACTGAGATTTAACAATCAGAAGTCTGGTGGTCTTGAGATATTTGCAGATGCAGGTTTTGGAAGTGCCACTACAGACAGGAAAAGTACGTCTGGAGTTTGCTACATGTACAATCAGGGTCTGTTTGATTGGTCATGCAAGAAGCAAACAACAGTTAGCTTAAGTACTTGTGAAGCCGAACTGAATGCACTGTCTTATTCACTTAAGGATTGTGAATGGTTGGTACAATTGTGCAAAGATATGAAAATTCCTGTCAAATGTCCAATCCAGGTTTACCAGGACAACAAAGCATGTTTGGCTTTGCTGAAGTCTGAAGGTTGTAAGCAAAGCACGAAGCACTTGCAATTAAAGTTGCAGCATGCTAGGGAATGTATTCAGAAGGGACTCATAACGGTGTCCTATATGCCAGGTAATGAAATTCCTGCTGATGTATTGTCCAAGATTGTATCAAGGGATCAACACTGTACCTATGTGCAGAAGTTGGGTTTGTATTGATATTGTACGAACACGCTGCCCAGTGATGTTCACAGAAAGGGGGAGGATGTTGGTTTCTGCTTTCCTTCACTGTGCAGCGAAAGGGCTTGTCACGAGACAGGTGTTTACATTCCACAGTCTGTACTGTTGGAGTTTCTCACGGGAAAGGGAGACTGGATGTGACGTACACTGGTTTCCTGTTTTTCACTGTTCTTTGCAGTTTCACTTTGTGATTCTCTCCGAGCTGTCGAGGAGAGAGGATGCATTTTCTGCTCCGGCAGAGGCAAGATGTCTTTCTGTAATATACCAGCTTTGAACTATAAATAAAGCAATATAGAGTATGCAGCACGTACTCCTCATCCTTCTGCTGGGCACGGGACTCTGCTTTACACTAACAATATTTAATTGTATTTTTCTCTCTTCCCCCATCCTTAGGGAGACCACTACCCTTCAAACCACAATGTTAGGGGTGCTGCAGGGATAATAGACATACAGCGTTCTGTGCATGCCATGGCAGAATGACCCGCTCATGGCTCCCTTCAATCATAGCACATCACAGAAATAATGCTTTAAATGATCGTGAGAATCAGCTCTTAAAAAGGGATAGGTCAAGTCAGAATGGAATGATGGAAGATGTGACTATTAACAGAGCACAGGTCTCCAAGTATTTGTACGATTGTGGGGATGCTTTAGAATGACACTGGGAAGCTGCTAAAAGATGAAATAGCATTATTGTATTCATTTGAATGTATTTAAAGTATTTCTTAAATGCCCTTCATCAAAATATTTCAGGGTGGTATACGACAGCACAGGTAAAATTCACACAGAAGTCTAATTTAAAACCAACAAATATACTTAACAAAATACAAGAAGACCAAAAAAAAACAAACAAAAAAACCCCAAAATACCCAAAGCTAAAAGCAGGAAATAATACAATTTCCCTTTAAAAAAATCTACATTTAAAATGTCTGGGAAAACAGGAAGGATTTCAATTGGTACTAAAAAAAACTTGTAATGTTGGTATCAGGCATGTTTCCTTAGGGAGAGAATTCCAAAATTGCAGCAGCAACAGTGAAAAGCTTCTTTCCTTTGTTAAAGTAAAAGCCCAGTTCACATGTCACAGCAAGCCAGAAAACCACATTTTACTGTGAACAAGCACTATACTATTACACACTGCTGAACTGCTCCTGTTTCACTTCACCCTGGAGCCAGGAGAAGCGAATCACATTACTTATGGTTTGATTCGCTTAAACCATGATCAGGAAGCCAGTACCGAAGTTCGGCTTCAGACCGTGATTTGCTTGGAGAGAAACAAACCATGAACTTGCTTCACACACCAAACCCTTGTGGTTTGCTGCTTCCAGTTCCCAGAAAGGCAGAGTGAAATAGTAGTGATTCGGATTGCGGATGCAGTCATATAGTGAACATCTGCTAAAGAGGGTAGTTGGAACATGGCCTTTCCCAAAGATCTTACGGCAAAGGCAGGCTAGCATGGGTCAAGGCAGTTCCTTCAGGTATTCAAATAATGCTACCTGTTTGTTATGCACACAGGGCATCACACTTTGTAGAACTTGCATGGGACTTTGCACAAAGAAGTATCTGAAGAAGTGTGCATGCACACGAAAGCTCATACCAATAACAAACTTAGTTGGTCTCTAAGGTGCTACTGGAAGGAATTTTTTAAATTTTGATTTATCACAGTTGCCAATACAGAGGTTTCATATGTCTCTCTAAAACCCTGTTATGCTGATTTGACATTTGGTCAAAGCAACTTGAAAACAAAGCTTGGTAAAAAGAAAAGAAATGAGCCATATGTTTCATGAATGAAGCAAGATTAATAGAAGAATGAGTAGGACTCTCCAGAGAAGCAATGGACTAACAAGTCACACAGCAAAATGTTGTTTTAATGGAGTAAAATTTTTGTCTCTCTTTGTCTCATCTGTGTCAACGGCTTGCAATTTAAAATAAAAAATAAAAAAGGTCAGAAGGCGGCACCAACCCTGTTATTTATTAGTATCGCAAAATGCACTCACCTAGCTTGCTGGCAAACACTGCAGAGCCAACCTTTCTCCTTCCTTTGATAGGAGCTGCAGTTCTTGCAGATGTTGTATTTGCAATCCTGGCACTGCCGCTTGGTGTTGATGAGAAACGTAAAAGGGGAGCAGCAACGCATGCAGCAGCGCTCGTTAAACCTCTGCTGCTTGGAGAGAATGCTGCACTTGTTACCCTCTTCATCGAGCTTCTGCTTCATTTCACTGGAACCCCAGAAGAAAGAAACAAGAGAGAGAGAATCAAAATAATGCCGTTTCCATTCAGCAATCGGACCAGTCTTCAAAAGCACAGGGACAGACCCTCCAAGTGTCTGTATTTCCTCAGATTAACAGAAGCCATCCTGATTTCTGATTTGATCCAGGAAAGTCCCGCTTTTCCTTAGGATGTCCCTATTTTCATCAGAGGGTATGGCATGAGTACTCGGGGCCATCTTAAGCATATGCAGCGCCAGGGTGCAAAGATCCGCCCGACGCTCCCCCAGGTTGCCCAGAGTTGTATACCTTTTTTTAGAGAGCTGACACCACGCTTATCTCTGCTCAGGAAAAGAAACATAAGGAGCCCAGCGCAACAAACCAGCCTGAGGAATCAGCGTTGGCAACTGAGCGAAGCCAGGCACCTCGTGGTGTAAGCAGCATGCGCTGGTGGGCCTCTCCATGGCCCTATGCCAATCCCAGGCACACAGGAGGTCACAGCCAGCCGGCCACCTCAGCGTTTTGCTGGCTTGCTCGCTCGCTCACCCCTGAACTCACGGCGCAGAGCCGGCATCCCTGGCACCTATGGTTAAGACGGCCCTGCGAGTACTGCAGGTTTGAGGGACCCCTGGGGCAAGCTCTCATTGAGAGGGCTCTCCAGTTCATGCTGCCCTGGTGGCCATTCCCAGGTTCTCTACCCTGCCAATGCCATGCCTGCTCCTTTGCTTGCTTGGCAGCCCCACACTCCTGTGCTGCACTGCCATCCATCCAAGGGCAGGATCACCCTTCCTGTCGCAGGCTTGTTGTTGTTGTCTCACCTGAATGTTCTAGTCCAAGTATTCATCAACCCAAGCTTGTTGGCTTACCCATCTAGGCAACAGGCTGTCTGTCCGCTGGCCATCTGAAAATGGCAGCCAGAGCATGTGCAAAGAGAACTACTCTATATGATTAGATAGCACTGTTGCCTTCCCATTTCCTCTGAGATCCATTTTCAAATTGGCAGCTGGTGCTGACCTCCCACCCATCCCACATGCTTTGTGTGTACTTGGGCAATATCAGGTTTTCATTGTCATGGTATATCACCAGCTAAACATCACTGATATACTGATATATCACAATGTCTGAAATAAGGAGGCATTGCAGGAGGCTGCCTTCATGGTTTTTACTGCATTGTGATTTTTGCCAGCGCCTGCTCTTGTGATTTTCTGCCCCATGCACGAGGCAAGGGAGGGCAGAGCCAACAGAGTTAACAGGGGCTGCAGGAGTCGAGGCAAGCATTTGTGGCTTTTCCCGCAACATGATTTTTGCATAGCGCGCATGCACACACACAAACATGTACAATGCATCTTGGAATGCTATTTTCACTAACATATGCCTTTCTGTGCACACTTTCCCCCAATATACTCGTTTTTCTATACATTATTTGGTTGGAGTACTGAATTGCAAAAATTTGGAGAAGTGTGAATTTTGAAGGACAACTGTGTTTCACTTCACTTCTTGCTTGGGGAAGTGTGAGCTAGGTTTCTTTGCATTAAAATGTAAACAGAACTGAATTGCTCCCTCATTCCTGGATTAGATTTAATGGACTCTTAAAAACTATACTGGAATGTTGTTTTAGAATCACAAATCTGTGAGGTATAGTTATTTTTAGTCAATACTCCCCCACCCCATGCCTTGAGGAGGGATAACTGAAGTCTACTGCAATGTGCTTTGAAGATTCCAGAAGCCTAGGAGCAGTGAGCCATTAAACTTTAAACAGCCTAACTACATTCTCTAAAGAAGTTATAAAGGTTTAATGCCAGTTTATGTAATGTTTATATAATGTCATATATTATTGCTCTTCTGTTTAATGCTCACTAGAACCTGTTGAGTGGTGTCCTTCATTCCATTTGAGTGGCCCCTGCTTTTATAATTTCCAAAACTTGTATTTTATATTTCCCACAGTACTAGCCTAATAAACCACACTATCAGTCTGTGTTACACATGGCAGTCACTTTCCTCCTTGCTGATTAACAAAGGACTGTCTTCTCTGCCAAAGCAAGCATCCTGAAGCCCTGAGAAAAGTAATGCAGTAAGGGGACAAAGTAGCAACTGGTCTCTCTAATGTAGTAGCAGTAGTAGTAGTAATCATCATCATCATCATAACTTATTATTTATACCCCACTCATCTGGCTGGGTTTCCCCAGCCACTCTTTTTTAATGACCTTGATGACATTATTGATTTCATCTTCATAGCCTCAGAATCTGTTCACACCTCTGCTCTTTCCTTCTCAGAACATTTCAACCATTTGCTGCATTAGGCCAACAAACAACGAGAGAGAGCTAGTCTGAGAATGCTACCTGCTATCCTGCCAAATCTTTACCTAAAAGTTTCTAGTGTAATGCTATCTGTCTGTCTATCTACTGCTTTGCCAGATCCCAGACCAGGATACAAACACATTTAAATGCATAACAAGACCATAAAACAGGAGGTGAGCACAAATCGATATGAGATAAACCATCCGCATTATAACCAACATGCTAAGTTCTAATTAATGCATGAAGGGGTTAAGACCATAGAGTAAGTTGGTGTGCCCAGCACAGTTATGTCTCTCTCTCTCACCTTGGGTGGATGGATTATCAAGCCTTTGTTCTACCCATGTGAACCTTACCAGTAAGGAGGTCTAAGATGAATGCTCCAAGCTTAGACCACATGACTTAAGCAAGCCTCCCCCCCCCGCAAAGGAACCTATGTCTTTTGCCTAAGGATACAAACCAGGGTAACAGCTGCAGCTGGTATTTCCAGACATGGGGAATCAGCCATTTTTTTGTTTCTTCTTCCCAAGCAGATTTGGTGTAGTCTGGAAGCTGCATAACGCCTACATGGTCTCATTTGAATGTCTGCTAACTCCTTCCACATTCCTACTTAAGTCTTTTACAAGATGTAGAGTCCAGCCAGCTCCCACCTTACCACTGCTTTGGTTACCATCTAGCCCGATGAAGAGTTCTGAATAACTCAAAAGCTTGCACATTATTTTGTGTCATTTTGGTTGGCTTAATGAAAGTATTGCTCCAATATGGATTTTGGAATCGGCCGATTCTGAAAGCACTACACTTAAAAAAAACTTAAAAAAAAACTTTTAGGATAAATAGACTAAGAGAAATACACTTTAATTAAACATGCCAGAAACGTTTACTGAATAGAACTTATCTGTGAGTAGGCTTTACAGAAATATCGTGGCAACTGGCAAGGGCACTGCTAGTTGTTAATTCAGTGTATTAAATACTCTGAGGATCCCATGTTCTAATTCCGTTGCCAGCTAATTGAGAAAAAACACAATGCACCCTTTGAGAATATAAAAGCCGGAAGTTATTTGCATCTGTCTCTGGCACTAATTGCACTAAGAAAAACATGGAAGGAAATCTGGCATTGGTAATGCATTGAGCATAGCAGCAATAGAATTCATGGTCCCAGGTAATATAGTCTGAAGGCACCTGAGTGAGAAGCTACCACCTGAACAGAAGTTAAGTAGTTCTGTTCAGTGCTTGGATGACTGCCATGGAATCACATGTATGGTGCTTGGGTCTCCCTACTGAAGAAAGGTGGGAAATAAATGTAAGGAAATAACAATGCTGTTTTATGGTTACATTATGACAATGTTCATAATTTGGATTTATTCTAACAGAGGAACACAACTTGCATTCTAATGAATAATGAACAGTGGAAACTCACTTTCTAGAAAACATCCCTAGACAGTGCAGAGTTGGAATTGTAGGAATAAAACAGAAGATAAGTCTTCAACATTTGAAATGATAAAATATTTATTTCCTCTACTTCTAAAACTCCCCAGATTTATTATTTAATCAGCAGAACAGAGGGGATATTTGTTAAAGTTCAAAGAATAACAGATGCATCAAGGAAAGTGGTAAGTTATGCAAATTGGACAAACATTTCAAATTACGCACTGTGATTGCTGCTACTCAGTTTTAAAAAGACTGCACAAATAAATATGCACATACCCCCCCCCCAAGAATATTGATTTTATATTTGTCTCATCTGGTTTCATGAACTGATCAAAGTTTGCTTTTTAATTTCACATTGCTAAATTAAGCTCACCTTTAAAATCAACAGAGGGAAAAATTAATGTACTTTATTGCATGTTGAGATGGCATGTGAGATTAATTCACACTGAAGTCTAGTTCACATAAACAACAGATGAGGTGTTAAAACTGTGCCTGGGTGACTCCACTTCAAAGGGAAATGGGAAATTGCATGATTGAATGCTTTCCCAGGAGAAATATTTCCTGCTCTCATAAAGTGGGTAATTCACACATGCAACCCTGACACCCAATTTCAGATCTTTTGACCTTGTACCTCCAGAATGTGGCACCTCAAGGGTGACAACCAAGATAAATCAAAAGTAATTTTATCCTATCAAAAGGGAAATACCATACTTATTAAAAGATGTAACATGGAATCAATAAACACAGACTTCATAAGCTACACACTAACAATAGGCTAAATTTAAAAGGGTTTGCAACTACTAAGAGTTAAAACTAATCATATAGCCTATGAGGTCTCGGACCACTAGGATCATCTAGTTCAACCCCCTGCAATGCAGGAATTGTTGGCCCAAAGTGGGGCTTGAACCCAGAGTTAGGAATAAGCAAAATACAGGGTGGTTCAATTCACCTTAACACAGAGAACCTAATAGTAGTATTTGCTGGCACTGTATGCATGCACAGAGTACACAGTCTGACAAAATGCATGAGAAAATAAATATATCTAATCTTTGGGCTATTTCTTCTATGAGGCAGAAACTGGTTTAAAATGCCCCATTAGATGTACAATTTTAAAAGCAAATAGCTCTTAATGCATTTTCCCTTGAGCCTCAACATTTCGTTATGATTTACTGTCAAAACTGGTGTTTGCTTTCCATTGCCTTGTGGAACCCTCTGGCAGTGGGGCAGCATACAAAGCTGAAAATGAAATTGCTATCATGCAATAAAAAGTTTCAAAAAAGTAATAAAGC